GAGTTGCCCAAGAGAATTTTCTAAGTGCAGCTTAAATCTAGTACAAGGCTTCAGATATGGGGCACCCAGTGAGGATCGATCTCACTATTTAGTCGACATTGTTCTATCGAGACAAAGTTGCTAAGCTTTACACCAAGTCGAGCTGCCCAAGAGGATTTTCTAAGCGCAGCTTAAATCTAGTACAAGGCTTCAGATATGGGGCACCCAGTGAGGATCGATCTCACTATTCAGTCGTCATTGTTCTAGGGATACAAGATTGATATATATTACACCACGTCGATGTTCCTATGGTGATTTTCTAACCTTATGCGTAACATGGCCGAAAGTATTTGGTACCCTGTGAGGATCGAACTCACTACTCAGTCGTAAATGTTAAAGCGAGAGAAGCTTGTTAACCACGTCAAAATTCTCAAATGGTTTTCTAAGCATAGCTTAGATGTGGCACAAGGCCGAAAGTATGAGCATCTAGTGAGGAAAGAACTCACTAGTCAGTCTCTCCCGGAACCGTTTTAGTGTATAATGGACTCCCCAGGTGATGCTTCTCCGATTGCTAAAGCTTTGATCTCATCAAGTCGTCGGTCAATCGTTATTTATACTACGTACCCTCATAATATGCACCTCACCACATGTTTCCTCCCTGTACGACCTTATAACAACCCCATTTAGAAAATCTCTATCTTGTATTGGCTGAACAATAGTAAAATAAGAGGTTTTTATTCAGTTTCTTATCAATCTAACAAAAGTGGACAACTGCGGATCACTTCGAGAGTATTCACTAAAACAGTAATAGGTTCTTACGATGTTAACCATGTTTGCCGTAGTCTCTGAATATAGAATCAAGTGAAGTCCGTAATGTGTTCAATATCAGAGGTCGGCAGTGAAGATTCGGAGAAAGTAGCAGCTGTTAAGTAATTCTTTAAGTCTTCGATATCAGACGCTGGCAGTGAAGATATTTTGGGAGAAAAAAACAAAATGGCTGCCTTTATACACGTCGGATTGAATATTTTGAGCTTTCTGATTGGTTAACACTTCTGTTCGTGAGCTATAAAATGAATCAGCTCATTTTGGTTGGCTCACTAGTACACAAAGTACCCAAAAATTCTAACAATTCTAGTCTTTTAGTACATAAATAAAAAACCGCCGTATTGGGGCAGTGAGAGAGGATCGAATTCATTCTATGAGTTTTCCAGGCTAGATACAAATCGCATTACGATAGGCGCCTATTCCACAGATTTAAATAATTCTTTATAAACATAGATCCCGTCCAGGGTAAGACAATAAACTACATTCGCGTCCAGGGTAAGACGATAAACTACATCCGCGTCCTGGGTATGACGATAAACTACATCCGCGTCCAGGGTATGACGATAAACTACGTCCAACAGCAAGGCCTCTTATCAGGAGTTTTGAGGAGCGTGGAACCACCTCTTAATTGCTGGTGTTCCCAGGTCGACCCTGACCCGGGGTGGTAGCACCTGTTAGGGTCCCATCTATGGGGAAATAGTTAACCCCTAAACTGTGGTAAAAAGCATTATGAAAGTTTAAAAATAGTTTTTTAATAGCAGAAATACTTTGTAAAAATTATTACCAGGAATAAATTTTTGAAGAAAAAAAAAAGCAGTATATTTTTGAAAAAAATATTACTAGCAATACGTTTTTGAAAAAAAAAATTACCTGCAATACATTTTAAGGAAAAAATATTACCAGAAATAGATTTTTGACAAAACAAAGTATTACCATGAAAAAAAAAAGTTGTCGGCATTAAATAACCCATTGAGGTTGATATGCCATAAAACGCAACAAACCAAACCAAACCAAACCAAATAAACATAGACCTGGGGCATATCTTTTCGTTGCAAGCTTTTCTTGCAAGATCAATTACGACTGAGTTGTGATACAATCTTGCTAACCATTAGACGACTAAGTCAGGTTGATTTTTCACTTGTTTTAGAAAATTGCACTCGCTGTGAAATCTGGTGATTCAGGTGATAAGAACTGACAACAAAAAGTAGATTCATAGCTTTTACCAAATTTTGAGCATTTAGTTTTAAATATCGTCTGGAAAAATATGTAGAAATACCTAATTTCCATAGATTTTTGCTTAGAATGTGTCTTTAAAATTGTACTATCTCAAGAATAAATCCAAATAAAGTTGACATTTATTGTATTAGGTAGAATGAATGGAAAATATATTCAAACCTGAGTTCTAATTATGAATCACCACAAGGAAAATATACATTTGTTTTATTGTATTCGATAAGTAATAAATGTGTATATATATATATATATATATATATATATATATATATATATATATATATAACTAGACTCGTTTCGAAACTTTCCCTGACGATCCGTTTAGGTGAAACCTAGGTAGGTTTGTCTGGCTCACTAGGTGTATCTATATATATATATATATATATATATATATATATATATATATATATATATATAAGAAATATAGTCTTAAGGTGTGCTATATTTATGGGATAAAGTGTTCAATATCAGAAAGCGTGTGTAAATATAAAAGGGAACATAGAAGTCAACATTTAGAGGCGACAGTCTGTTTCATGCTAGATGCAATCGTCAGGCCACGAGTGCTGTTATTTTTTTTGGCTATTTATACATATACATGTCACTGGTGCATTGTGGGTACTCTATTTTGGTGGTTATTTTACCGGAAGTCATTTATTTGTTTGTTTATTTATTTGGGTTAAATTATTTTGCTTGTTTTTATTTATTTTTATTTTTATTTTTTTTATTTTTATTTCTTATCTTATATATTTATTTCTTCATTTTTTTTAATTTTAATTGGTGTTTTTATTAACGTAGTAAAAATTTGTTTATATCGCTTATTTAATAGTTTTGTTTTGGTTTGGGAAGATAACTAAAGCTGTTTTTTTTCAATTTTGGGGTTGATTGTTGTAGTTTATTCTAACTATTATTTTGGCGGGAACAGTTTTTAACTTGTTTATTACTTCATGTATTTATTTGGATTGATTATCTTTATTTGTTTTTTCTAACGGTTAGTTTATC